ATTTTTTATGTTAATTCACTTTCCCACGAAACTGCTGTGCAGAGAAACAAGTTAAGCGCAGTACTACCAGGGGCGTGGTGGGGATCAAACTCTGTACCTCTTGCTTATGAAGCAAGTGCTCTAGCGCTACACCACGACCGCATAACATTTATAATGTGCTTTTAGACTTTGTCTGAGAGTAAGAGGGTTGTTATTCATCAATATAGAAATACCAACATTATTGCAATATTTTTTTGCAGTAAATAAATGAGTTTTGTTGTGTAACAAAAATTGCAGATTTCAAAAATTGCAGAAGTCCAGAATTAAAAACCACAGCAAGCCTATTAGGCTTGTTACAGAGGAGAGATCAAGACAAGAGTATAAAATTGAGTCATCAACAAATAAATGATTAATAAAGCAACTGCTCAAGATGGTGATAAATATGGAGCAGAATAAAGTTTGACTTTCCAAACTTTTAGTCCAGAAGGAATAAAAGCTTCTGAGATGCACTTTATGCATACATATTATGGATATAAACATATATGTTTGCTATTTATCTAGATAGCGGCACACAATATCCTTTCATATTTATATAAACTTTAGTATTTATAAGGTGTAGTATTTGCCGAAAGAAAAGAAGATGATAATGATGATGATAATGGTAATGATGATTATGATGATCATGTTGATCATAATGATGATAATATATGCATCTATATACAAAATAAAACATGAATTTTGAATAGAAACAATGTACTTTAGAATGTATAAATATTTTTTCAGCCCCGGTCACAAACCCGGCCACGGCCCCGGTCATATATTAATCCCGGTCATTTATTAATGGGGAAAGGACTTATTTCAGCAAGCTATGCCTAGAGACAGATTCGCGGTGGTCATGAAGTACTTAAGATTTGATGATAAGCAATCAAGGAGTACCAGACTTTCACAAGATAAATTTGAACTTTTTTCTGAGTTTTGGAACTCAAAAAAAATTGTAATATAGATGGAATATAGTGCCACTGACAATTGGCTTCACAGCTAATTGTCAGCAGCACTATACTTCAGCTGATTACAGTGGATATTACCTACTCCAGTATTCTATACTCCAGTGATAATATTACAGTGGATGAGCAGCTCTTCCCAACTAAATTGAGGTGCAGATTCACACACTATATTCCCAATAAAGCAGACAAATTTGGCATTAACCTTTGGATCTTTGGAGATTTGGGCACAAAATACTTCCTCTGTGAAATGCCATATCTTGGTAAATGCACGAGACTACATACTTTATTTTATACAGAAGGTAATGGTAAGAAGGGGTAATGTGTGATTGTTGTTTGTTTATATTTATAGGTAAGGATGATGCAAGGACTGGTGAAACACTGGCTGAATATGTAGTTCTCACAATGGCAGAATCATATTTAAATAACGAGTACAATATTACTGCAGAAAACTTTTTCACACAACTTCCCCTTATTTTGGCTCTGAAAAAGAAGAGAACCATGTTTGTTGGAACAGTTAGAAGTAACTGACATGAAATTCCATATATATCCCTTAATGCCAAGGGAAAACCCATGTACCACTCTACCTTCTTCCGTGAAGATAATGGGGTACTTTTGACTTCATATAAAATAAAGTCAACCAAAGATGTTCTTCTCATATCATCAAGACATGAATTGACATGAAAAGACACGAATGAGTCTGTTGAAGAAGGAAGTAGGAAGAGTAAGCCCAACACTGTAGTTTTCTACAATGAAACCAAGTGCTGATTCACTTGACCAGATGTGCAAAGCCTATTTTGTCAAATCTGGAGCCCAACGGAGGCATGCTTCTTCAATATGTTGGACTTGGCTGGAATAAATGCATTTATTCTTTACAAAGAAGTAACAGGGCAACGCCTATCGAGGGGGCAATATCTGAAGACGCTCCTTGAAAATTTAATAATGTGAGCAAGACAACGCCAACCATTAATTTCTACCTTCTCGCCAAAAATCAACAACAAATGAAAAATTTGCACCAATAAGATTGCAGATGTTTGCTCATTTCGCCTGAGACCTACCTGTGGTAAATGTACCTAACTGTGGTAAATGTACCACTGAGAAACGCGTTCAGCTCAAGTGCTCTAAATGCCTCATTTGACATCAGCCATCTTTGCCCGACTTCTCATTTAGACTTATACATTTCTAAAGTACTTTTAAAACATTGAAACCTTGCATTTGTGTTTTTTTTTTCAATTAATATGATCATTAACATTATAATGTTTCCCTTATTTTCTGAGTTAATTGTGAGCAGTCAAAATGACCTTATCGGAGTTCTAGGTATAACACCTCTCAAAATCTTATGCAGAAATTTTTTAAACAAATATTTTTAACTATAGTTCTAGTGATTAAAAACAATTCATATAATAAAAAATGTTAAAACAAACTAAAAAATAAAATTTTGGTAACCAATCGCAGACATTGTGTAAAAGTTTCAAAGTAACAAATCATACATAGCATATGGCATCATAACATATCATACATACATACTATGACACAAACAAAATTATCGGATGGAAACATAAATGACTAGATACGACAAAAAAAGTCATGTAAATTTTACTGTGATAGTGAGGAGTTATGCCTTCTTAGAGTGAGGCAAAAAATACAAATTTAGTTAAACAGCACATATATTACTCACATATTTACATTTTATAATTTAATTTTAAGTTATATTTTGCATAGTTTATAAAATTATTTTGGAGGAATTTAAAACTCTTAAATAATTCAGTTTTAGTTGAATCAAATAAACTTATTATTTTGGGGGCATTTAAAAATCATAAATCAGTTTTAGTAGAATCAAATAATCTTTTTTGAATTCAAAAAAAAAAAAAATTTTGAATTGCAAATAACTTTAAATAATAAACTTAATATATGGTTAATTTTAATATACTTATATATAATGTAATCAACATAACTTATAACATGTATTTTATAAAATTTATATGGCGTTTATAGAAGACTAACTTTATCTATACTTATGTATAATATATTTACGTATGATATACATATATTTACGTATGATATACATATATTTACGTATGATATACATATATTTACGTATGATATACATATATTTACGTATGATATACATATATTTACGTATGATATACATACATACATACATACATACATACATACATACATATATGTATTATATACTTAAGATTTAATATAGCATTGACATGATTCATACTTTTGTAGAGATCTACTAAAGATATCTTAAAAATCATAGGAAAGAATTTTATATTGTACCATTTTTGTACTACTAAAAAATTATGTTAAATCTTTAAGAACAGAATGTTTATACTTTATTATAGTTCAAATATTCTATTCTTTACAGTATGTACAAGGAATCCTAGCTATTCATTTTTATATAGATATTCTTTGAAGTCACTTAGAAAAGACAACTAAGCAAAATAATTTTGTTCTCTTTTCAGCAAGTTTAATTATTAAAATTATAAAATTATTTAATTATAAAATAATTATTCAGAAAAAAACAAAATATCTAGTTACTGTTTACAAAAGTATCTGAGACCTGATCAACAATTTTTACTTTTTAGAATATTTAAAAAAATGTAATATTCAGATAGCACCAACATAGGAATGCTAAAAAAAACTGTAAAGAAGGAAAAATAAAATAATTTTAAAAATATTTTTGAAGATGATTAGTACTAAAAAATGATTGCATCTAAGAGATTGCATAGAAAGTGATTCCGAAAATCTGCAAACTGTCAACAAGAAGTTGTCTTTTGTATTGAATGCCTTAAATTACAAAAAAAACTTTCCATATGTCTGATGCAATAAAAGCACAAACACAATTTTTTTTTTTACAAAACTTTGATAATTACAAGTAAAAAGTCTGATTATTGATAAACCTGTAAATTTAAGTCAACTAAAAATGATCAATTTAAATAGTTAATTAAAAATGATCAATTTAGTACAGGGTTGCATGGTTTAAACCATGGTTTAAACCAATTAAAAAAATGTTGGTTTAAACCAAACTAATGTTTTTTTAAAAAGATTTGAACTTACAACAAGAAACTAAGACAGGGTTATGTTCACAAATATAACTTATCTTCAATCTAGATATATATTATCAATATGCTTCATCCAGGATACACTCTACCTAATAGAACAGAAATTGAGGGAGAAATATTAAATAGGGTTTACACAGAAGAAATCGAAAAATTTAATATATTGAATGGGTAAATTGTAGCCATGTCTTTAGATGGCTGGAGTAATATACATAATGAACCTATAGTTTGTATCTCTGTAATTACAGATAAAATTAACATTTTAGTAGAAACAATCAACACTTCTGGCCATTCACATCCTGGTGAATATCTTACACAATTAGTGTTAAAAAAACCAAAAAACCATGGTTTTTTTGGTTTTTTCAAAAAAACGTTTTTTTTGCAACCCTGATTTAGTATTTTTGGTTGGTCGCCTGACCCGGGGGTAGGGCATTAACCAAAAATACCCTTAAAACATGTTCACTAAATAAAAAAATAAAATTTATTAAACTTAAAAAAAGTGAGTACGCAGCATGACAATAATAAAAAAAATGAGTGCACAGTGAATATGACAATAATTTAAAGTCAGTACGCAGTGAGTATGACAATAATTAAAAAATGAAAGTTATAACGCATAATATATACGCTACTCCAAATCAATTTGAAAATTCAGATAAAAATCAATGTCAAATGTTTTTAACTCTGATTAAATCAAAAAAACAAAAAAAGATCAAGCAGAGAATAGGCGTTACAGATGCAATTGGGTAGAGAATTTTAACTCGTTAGCAAGAGTAGCGCACAACCTTTTTAAATTACAGTTTGAATATCTGTACTTATTGATTTTGAGTTAAGTAAATGACAACCATGTGTTGCACCTAAAGACTATGTCCTTAACTATGTATTAAAAGTTATAAGTATGTGGTATCATTGTTTTTGTTGATTTATAAAAAAATATTTAAAAAAATACCTTTTCTTTTCTTCTAAATAATCAGGCATTTCAATAGTATATGTATCATCCAGTAACAAACAAAGTAAACCACTGGTTAATGCCAAAAATCCATTTACTGTAAATGGTAAATGTTCAGAAATGTTGCTGAGAACTCTATTTTGTGGGGCAACTATACCACCAAGGCGACCAAAAAAAGAAGCAAAACCATAAGCAGTTGTTCTATAAGCAAATATTTAATTCCTAATTTAAAATAATAATAACACACACACATACACACTTGTATATTATAATAGTAAAGGCTAATATAAAATTAATTATTTGCAAAAATAAATTAGCTGCAAAAAAAATTATAATTATAAAATATAAAAAATAAAATTAAAATAGTAATTGTTTTTAAAAAACCCAATTAAGCAAATTAATAAATTTAAATATAAATTTCAAATAAAGTTATGTTTTCATTAACAATATCATGTCAATTAATAACTTAGTATCAAGACTCTATTAGTCAGCCTTTAACCTTAGTATTAAGGCTTTTGGTCTATAGGTCAGCCTTTAAGTGATCTTGCTGGTTTTAATGTCAAGATTAGAACTTTTTAAGGCTGATGGTCTATTTTAAGTGACTTTGCTGGTTTTTAAGTCAAAATTAAAATATACAGTTAATAACATTAGTAATTATTTTTATAATTGTAAATTTAAAAATTGTAAAAGGTTTTGTGTAATTAAGGTATTTATTTGTATAAAATTTTTTTAAAACAGCTTTTAAAAAATAAAAAACAATTAAAATACACACATAATTGATCAAACAAAATTAACTTAAGTCTACGTTATGTCTACTATAGTAGACATAATGTACGCTTATCATAATTTTATTAATCGTATAAAATCATGTTATGTTTACTATAGTAGACATAACATAATTTTAATAATGGTATATAGCTAAGCTATAAGCAATGCAATGAAATTCATTTATAAATTTATGTGTGAAATTAAAAAAAGGAATTAATGTAAGAAAATGACTTCAAGTTTTTAAAATTTTCTTTAAAACATAATTTCAATGCGTTGCTACAACTTTTGTCGAAAAACATTAATACATCATCAATGTTGTATGACAGAATTAAGAAATTTAACCATTCCTTTTTTAATGAAAATAAATTATTTATAATATTTATATGTTTTATAATATTTTTGTTGTGTACCTAACAACAGTTGGAAAAGTTTCAGCTGTAAATACAATTGTGGATGTCCATGCAGCAGTAAGAAAAAGACGAGAAATTAATGCTAGAACACTCATGATCACTTTAAAACGAGTAGTTTTTGCAAAGTATGCAGCAGTAATGCCAAATGAAAACCCTGAGGTTAAGATCATCAGAATTATAGTACTTTTTTTCCGACCAAAACTAAAAAAAATATAATTTGAGATGCAGCTTAAATTTGAAATTTGAATAAAAAACTTGCAACAAATAACACAATCATAGTCATCATAAAACACTTTTTTTATACAATTTTTTTTTTTTTATAACCTTATAGTTGTCATAATTGTAAAATAAAATTTAACAAAAATTAAATACATTTGTGTAACAAAAAGCAATCAAAACTTTTAGGGTAATCAACTTCTTGATGTTTTAAAAAGGAAGTAAGTAAGGTATAAAAACAAAGACTTTTTAATCAGTTTTTGAAGAATAAAAACAAAAAAATGAAAGCTTTTAGATTTTTTTTAAACTTTATAAAAAATATTATTTTTTAAAACTATTTATTTTACCAAAGAGGAGGCAAGCTCGTATTTTTTAATTGTTTTAAAGCATTATGGTTATTATATTTACAACAATCATAGTGCTTTAATTATGCTAAACAACCATTAAGATAATAACAACAGCAACAGCAGATAACAGTAAAGTAAATGGAAAATGTAAATGTATTGTTAATATTGATTTATAATAGTAAACTTTTTTATAGCAATTTCATATTTGATGCTTATTTCTCAAGATTGATTTCTCATTAGAAATAAACATAAAAAATGTTATCATCTTATGTTGACTAATATCACTTTTTAGACAAAGACCAAAAAAGCATTGTAAATGTTGTTGGACCAGGTCTAGGTGTTAAGCTTGAGCCTCTGTCCCATCCTCACAATTTTTTACAAATCATGATCACTGGTCAAGAATCATGATCACTGGTCAAGTAATCATGGACCTATCATCACTTGTTCCATCAATCAACAAAAAACATACAAAAGACATTAAAAAGGTTACAGTGGAGTGTACTCTGTTGTCAAAACAACACATTTATATATATATATATATATATATATATATATATATATATATATATATATATACTATATATATATACACACATACTATATATATATATTATATATATATTATATATATATATATATACACACACACACACATATATATATATATATATATATATATATATATATATATATATATATATATATATATATATATATATATATATATATATATATATATATGTATATATATATATATATATATATATACACATATATATATATATATATATATATATATATATATATATATATATATATATATATATATATATATATATATATATATATATGTATATATATATATATATGTATATATATATATATATATATATATATATATATATATATATATATATATATATATATATATATATATATATATATATATATATATATATATATAAAAGCTAACTGTTTATATATGTGTTTTAGATTCTTTTTGGACAGAAATTGCTCAGTAGTTATGTATGGGTTAATTTTTATTATTTATTTATCTTTTATTTAGCACACAGATAAAAAAAACAAAATCATGAAAGTTTTAAAGTAACAATGGGTAGCTACAATGGCATCAAAATTGGTGTTCTCGTAGGAATCCAGATAATGAAGTATCCAAGATAAATACAAAAATTGTCATAGGGCTGTGATGACAGCTTGCTAGTAATACAGAGTTTTAATGGCCAAGAAACAGATTGAACTTAAAAAAATTCAAAAATTTAAAAGTATAGAATTTTAAATCAATATAAAAACAAACCTTAAATTCAACTTCTTTGATGTTCAATTTCAATTTAATTGACAACACTAATAAACCTTTCAAAAAACCTAACAACAACCTTCATTATATCTATACATCTTCTAATCACCCACCACAAATTCTTAAACACTTACCTACTTCAATACGCAGTAACAAAACTCCTCAAACAAAGCAATATTTAATCAATCCAAAAACGAATGTGAACAAGCACTAAAAGCGCATACAAAAACAACTTAATAATATTAAACAAAATCCACTACAAAAATTGTAAACGCAGTCATATGGTTCCCCCATTCAACAAAAAAATATCCACAAATGTAACTAAAATATTTTTAAAACTACTAGACAAAACCTTTCATTAAAACCAAAAATAACAATAAGTCTTTAACAGAAACACTTAAAGGTAGCTGTGATGAAAATATAAAAAAAAATATATACCATCATATTAAATGGCTTGGGATTTGAAAAGCAAATATAATGACATAACTTGATAGATACCAATTCTGTGATACCTCACATAGTTAAATCATTTACATAGTTGTTTCATATGTTTCTAAAATCTGTACCCTCTTACTCAAATTTTTCCAAAAGATGTCCACTATATTTATATGAAAAATTCACAATTTAAATTAAAGTGAAGTTATATTGAAGTAAAATTATATTAAACTGAAATTATATTGAAGTGAAATTATATTAAACTTAAATCATATTGAAGTGAAGTTATTAAACTGAAATTATATTGAAGTTAAAGTGAAATTAAAGTGCCATTACCAAAATAAAATATTACACAGGTTACTAACACTAACTTATTATTATACTTATTATTTTATATTTAAATTAACTAATAATTATTTTTTGTTAAAATTAAAAATTAAATTTTTTTTTTAATAATTAAAAAAATTTTTTTTAATAATGTGCAATATGGCAATCCTATGGGTTCCCTTAGCCCACCATAAAAACATCTGGACTTTAAGTTATGTTCAGAAGAAAAAGTTGTTTTAGAAAAAAAGTAATTTAAGTTATGAATACATTATTATTATTACATACTTTATTAACAATGCAATGTTTTTGATTGTTTTTAAAAAGAATAAAAACATAGACACTATTATATTTTACAGTGTTAGAAGCAGTTGTTTCGGTGCAACATGCTACAACCTTTGTTAATACATAATATTCCACAAGACCTTGGATTGCCATGGCTTGATCTTGTCCTTTGGAGGACAGTATTTTAGGTCTTCCTAAAAGAAAGTCAAGTGGATCATATTTATGAGAGGATAATTGTCAACAACAATTTAGTATCAGATCAGGTGGATCAGATTTAGGAGACAATAATTGCCAACCTGTCTACTGTTTCAAAGATCTTTGCACTATTTACTATTTGACCAGCTTTGTGTCAAAGTGAAGAAGCAGTTTCTAACCTCTAATCTTATCCAAGTTCTGCTCTCTTATAATAAGTGCTTTATTATTTACAATTTCTTAAATTTTTCCTGGCAACCAGGTTTTTTTAATTTTAGGCAGATTTAAGATAACAAGTCTTTAAGTTAGTGAAAGCTTAAGGTTTTATGCTCAGCAACCATTCATTTTCAGTTTCCAGTACTTGTTTGTTGATCTTGATCCAATTTTGACCATGCGTATTTAAAGTGAATACACATCTTTAAAGAGTTAACTTGAACACCTAATAACTTTCCTTCATTGAATTCAGGAGCCCAAGAAGGCAGAATTGTAAGCTATTAATTAGGGTCTTTTAACACACACACATATGTGTGTGTATATATATATATATATATATATATATATATATATATATATATATATATATATATATGCGGGCTATAGCCTAAACCCGCCTCCACGCCTGTGTAAGTCAGTTTACATGGGCAAAATAAAGCCCATGCAAAATATAAATCAAAAACATAAAACAAACACACAAACACACAAAGGGAAACACATTAATTTTCTGAAATTTTATGAAAACATGATAATTTAATTTCTAGAAAAAACCTCATGCAAGATTATTCCCTAATTCCATATATAGCGTCAGGTGCATCAATATATAGCGTCAGGTGCATCAATATATAGCGTCAGGTGCATCATAATAGTCAAATGCACATAACATTTTTCATCAAATCAATGTCAAAAAAAGAAATTTATTAAAGTTTGATCTTTTGAAATCAGTTGTTCTTTATTTTTCATCAAATTCATTTCAAAGTTTCATCAAATATGCAATTCTGTCTGAATTTAGTATTTCAAAATAAAACAGCTTCCTCTAGATCATTCCTTAGAAATATTCTCATTACTTTTGACTTCGTCTAGATCTTTCCTTAGAAAAATTCTCATTATTCACTATAACTTCTTCTGGATCATTCCTTAGAAATATTCTCATTACTTTTGACTTTGTCTGGATCATTTCTTACAAATATTTTCATTACTTTTGGCTTCCTCTGGATGACTCCTTAGAAATATTCTCAATATGCAACTTTAAGATTTCCTCTGGACCAGATTCTTTAGAAAGAAAACATTTCTTAACTTGTCTACAATCAAGTAGACTCATTAATGTTCAAGGATGAGCTAAAAATAAGTTAATTTCATGTTACAGGTTTGTTTGGACCTGCTTTGTATGAGCAAGGGGTACTAATACTAGGAGTACTTGTTTTTTTTCTTCGTTTTTTGAAACTTTTCTTATTTTTTGTATGGGTAGTGACTAAAAAAATTAAAACAAATAAATTGCAAAAGTATTTACTTAAATTTGCATTTACAAAAATCTTTTTGGAAACCTGGAAAAACTAAAAGTAGAAATATCCAGAACTCCAGATCTAGAAAAATTAAATCCTTGATGTAATATACTGTAATTAATCATAGATTTAACATTTAGCATACATGAGAACCTTATTTTAAGTGTATTACTATTAAATGTCTTACAAAGTATTTGACTAATCAGAAAGTGCAGATCTACCATTAGTAATAAATGACTACCTATTTTTGTTGCAACATTAATAAAAAGTGGATTGTATAGGATTATGGTCTGCGTCTTTTTTTTTTTTTCTTGAACAGTAATAAATTTGAAAATAAAACTTGATTTAATTAATACATCTTAATAAAGAGGAAATGGTTGTTTAAAAATATTTCTATTTGAAGATAAGTTATATAAATTATTATATAAAATAATCTTAATTCCATAATTTAAGAAAAACTTATATATATATATATATATATATATATATATATATATATATATATATATATATATATATATATATATATATATATATATATAGCATATATTTTATTTTGCATATATAATTTTTTATTTATTTTGCATATATTATAGCATACCATTTTGCGAAAATCAAAACTAGAATACCCTGGACCATTTCTGCAATACCCATAAATAGGAAATTAATAGATCGATCTCCAGAGAGCTGTCCAACACCAAGAGTCATTGCATAATATACAAATGTGCAAGTAAACCTAGAAAATTAGAACATATAAATAAATTATCAACAGAAAAATTAATATTTTTTTTTGTTAGTGTAATATATTAAACGCTTTGATACTGATTCGTTTATTTTATTAAATTTTAAAAAGTTTTATAGAGTAATATCTATATCTTCATCAACAATTATATATCTCAGTAAAATCACAACTTTTAACATAAATTCATGGAATAATATTCCATGAGTTTAAATTAAATGAAATAATTTTATATATTGCAAGAATATATAAAATTATTTCAAAATTCCAATTGTCAAGCAAATTGGATTTGCAATTATAAATATTTGCGTTTGAATTGCAAGTGCATTTTTAAGGATTTATTGCTCAATTTAACTCTAAAATTACTTCCAGTAATTTTGGCAAAATAATTTTAACTGCAGCACAACATTTTAAACATCTACAAATTGTAAATTGTAATACAAATTTTAAACATCATCTACAAATTGTAAATTGTAATACAAATTTTAAACATCATCTACAAATTGTAAATTGTAATACAAATTTTAAACATCATCTACAAATTGTAAATTGTAATACAAATTTTAAACATCATCTACAAATTTTCATAAGATCATAAGAAGTTTATTTTGTGTTTATTTTCTGTGTTTATATCTGTTTATTTTCACTGAACTAAAAAGCTTGCTAAATTTATTTTTTTAAATTTATTAAAAAAACTTTTACAAAAAATTAGTGCATTTTTAAGGATTTATTGCTATTTATTGCAATTTAAAAAAGTTCTGGGATAAAAAAAACTTTATTGGATGGTCAAAAGGTTTTGGGATAAAGTTTAAATTTTGAATATTTCATAATTCTAAAAAATTAGAAAATTCTTATTTAATTAAACTTGAATTAAAAAAATATATGCAAGACAACTGTTTACTTTTTTATTTGTAATTAGGTAAAACCTGATTCATAACATATTTTAATGAGTTGATTCAGTGACTCTAGATATACATAATATATTTAAACGATGAGTTTCAGAGAGGAATAGAAAACTTATGTAAGACAACATTTCTATATTTGGAAGAAAGAATTTAATGTAAAACTTCTCAAGTTTCATTCTATAATTCATAATGTAAACTTTCAAAGTCGACTACCATGACAACGACCATGTAATGACATATTAAGAAAAGATTACCCAGTTGAAATAGACAAATAACAGCAAATTGAAATTTTTTGCTGAAAACTATACTGGAATGAGCCGAAAATTGATGATCTAAAAATGAAATGTATTAAAACATACACAGTAAAATCAAGAAAAATAAATACTAAACAAATGGTGAATTATGCCCAAAATTTTCCAAAACTTATATCATTGTTGAGAGAGAAAAGTATTTTGAAAATCAAGCTCAGATATGACCAAAAATTTTAGATTTTATTCTTCTGATAAATATATATATATATTATATATATATATATATATATATATATATATATATATATCAAATGTAAATTTAAGCATTAGCCTGTATTATATTAAAGAAACAACTATGTTGAACAAATAAAAAGTACAACTTGTGAAATAATGTTTTAACATTATTTCAATATATGTTCAAAGTTAAAAAGAGTTATGAATAAAAATGAAAAAAGATTTAGTTCAATATCAAACCATGATGAAAAGTGGTGTTAAAAAATTAAAAAAAAAAAATGAAGATTAAGAATCTTTAAGTGATTTAAACAAAAAGTGATAAAAACAAGAACGCTTTACCTTTTCACAAAACTTTTTGACCACCTGTAATTTATTAAACATTTAGTATTTATCTTCAAATTTCAAGACGGAAACACCAACCTTTTGAAATGAACACCGTAAAAAATATAGCCTGCAAAACAAATTTTTTAAATTTTTTATTAAAGTATTAATTTAATGAACCAAGCATTTTTGGTGCTGCAACCTATACTATATAAGCTGAAACTTTTCATAAAATTTTTTCAATGTTTTAAAAAAAATTCATTAAAATAGATTTTAAACAAATTCTTTATTTTAATAGCATAATGTTACTTAAGTCTTAGAAAAGTCCTAGGTAAGAACTTAGAAGATGAGGTTTTTATTTAAAAAATCTTAAGGAAAAAATTTTGCTGGATTATTAGTGTCAATTTATATGAATTGTTTCAGTTTTATATGAATCAGTATTTTTTAAAAGGGCTGATTTGCTTAAAACCCGTTTTTGAGAAAACTAAAAAAAAACTATTTATATCTTTTAGTATTAAATATAAGACTTTGTGTAATATATATTTTTAAAAATATATGCAAGAGTAACATCTTAGTACACTTTGATAATTGTTATAACATTTTGTTTGTTATTAATTAATATATGAAAGTTCCTAAAATTCGCCTTTTAAAAAAAAATTGAATATTTCAGAAAGGAAAACAAATTAAAACTCTGTAAGAACTACAGCTATGTACTTTAAAACAATATTTTAACGTGCCAGTAATAAATATAATACATATATATATATATGAATTAATAACAGAAAAAGCTCTCAGAAGCAATAAGTCTCAGCATATTAACTTAGTCCTTCCTCCAAGTCACTATCAGGGAGAATCTCACATTCATTAGTTGGCCAGGAGTACAGCTTGTTATAAAACTTGTTAAATTCTTCAGGAATGAATTCTTTTAATTTGTTAAGGTCTTCCACGCTTTTTTCAGTGTAACTTTGCCACTTGGATAAGCTAAACTATCCACCTGTGGTACAGTACCCATATGTTTATACATAAAAAATGTATGACATACTAAACCATTAATATTGGTGAATGCTTTAATGTAGTCTTTTTTATCATGCTCATATACAAAATGAAACAAGTTACTAATTGAAAAGTAAACCTTTCAATTTTGGGGTATTTTTACCCTTGGTTTCTGAAGAAATACAAGATTTTTTGTAATGTTTTGGGCTCCAAGCTTTAAAATCAAAAAATTCAGTTGCATCTACAATATCTTTCACTGTAAACTTTTGTGATCTGGAGCTACTAATAATAAGCCCACTGAGTTGATGCATATGATAAAGACGGTCATGTGTTTTGAAAACACTTGAAATTATATAAAGTCCCTATCACAAGGGAAGAAACTATGCCTTCTCATTGGGAAGAACTGTTCAACTTTATCAAACCTACCACTGTCAGTTATGTATAAACAAAAACGTGATAAGGTCTAATTTTTATTTTGTACTACAGTTGTCACAAAACAAACATAATGTAAACACTTTGATGGAACTGAGATCAAATAACCATTTAAAAAAGTCGCAACTTCATTAGACCCTTTTCTTCCTTGACCTTCATGGTATATATATACATGACTTTTTTCTTCTTTAATGTTATGTATAGAAAAAAACATTGACTGATAGCTGTCTCATATAATAAAGTTGTTGGGCAGGTATTTTTGGTAAGCTTATTGTCTTCACATAGTCAAATGCCAATGATAGAATGTGCTCCTCTTTTAAGCCATTTTCTGATGTTTCATGTTTTAAAGCATGTAAAATTTATTACTCCTGCGCTTATGAACATCTAAATCAGTCTGCACTGCTCTTTTAGCTACATCATTGAGATGTGGTGATTTTAATCTAAGATTTAATTCTTCACACGTGCAACAAGTATCCGCTTGTGGGCGCTCAAACCATAAGTTAAAATTAGTTTTAAAATGGTTCCAGTAAAAAGACTTGTTCACTTTTAAATCTGGATTTTTTTCACAAAAAAGTTGCCACATTGTTTTTATATTTAAACTTGCATTGAGGTAATATACTTTTTTCCCTGAGTAACGTGATTCCTTGAGCGGAAATGATCTTATGTAATTACTAACAATGTCATGAACATTCTGAAGAAGACAATTAGTAATACCTTTTCCTTTTTTATCATCAGGGGTTATTCCAATTACCTTAAAGTTCCTTATTCTCCGTAATTGTTTTTCACAATACTTAAGACAGATAAAAGTGCACTGCAACATATCTCTATGCGTACATTGCCTACAATCATATGATAGGAGAAACTATTTGGATGCTTCGGGTTTTCAAGATTCTTTTGATGTGGCACTCTTCTTTTAACTTTAGTGAATCTATTAATCCTTAAATATAAAAATCTTGTTTGTCTTTGCTTTTTATATTATAAAATTAGGAAAAGATATCCACACAGTTAGCCTCTCCAAAGTTCTCCAAACACTTTTTCTTGCACCTTAAAAAAGAAATCAGAAAAATTAATATAAAATTAATACAAGCTCAAAAACATTTTTACTAAAATACACAGCATTATTTATAATCTTAAACAGAAAACAACATTGCCACCAAAGTTGGAAAATATACTATAGTACTATAGCTGGTTTAGGCTTAGGGTTAGGTTTTTAGGGTTAAAATGTTTTGAAGTATGCTATTTTATAAATTTTAGGCATATAAACATATAATACATCTTAAGTATTTTAAACTCATGCTTTCATGAAATAAGATTAATATTTCAAAATTTTATAGTCTAATATTTTTTATAATTTTAGTATAATTTCATGTAAACATGAGACTTATATAAACATTAAATTTATGATAAGTTGAAAATGATTTAAATATACTTTATGTAAATATATATAGTGTATATATATATATATACATATATATATATATATATATATATATATATATATATATATATATATATATATATATATATATATATATATATATATATATATATATATATATATATATATATATATATAGTGTATATTTATATATATAGTATATATATATATATATATATATATATATATATATATATAAATATATAGTGTGTGTATATATATATATATAGTGTGTGTATATATATATATATATATATATATATATATATATATATATATATATATATATATATATATATATATATATATATATATATATATTGGATGTTTGAAACTTACCTGCAAGTAAACATAGAGTACTTTGGTGGAACTTCATTTCCCTTATGATTTATGTATGACTGTCCTATTAAACGTGCTTGTTTT